AGCATTCCATCTGACATTTTTTTCTGGATCTGACATTCTATCTAGCATATGTTCTGGCATTCTTTCTGGCATTCTATCTGGCATCTAGGCAGGCATTCATTCTGGCATTCTATCTGGCATCTATGCAGGCATTGATTCTTGCATTGTATCTGTGGCCCCCTGCATCCGGAGCTTGCGATATCGGATCCATTGTTGCCCACAGTACCGGCGAGATGGCAGAGGTGGAGACCAGGACGGAAGGACGAAGAAGGAATTGAGTTGCGCCTTTGTTAAAATCTAGAGAGCCTGGCAGGTGAGAAAAAAACAAAGAAAAAACATATTCAATGGGATTTAATGGGAGTTTCAACGCTTCGATTGCATAGGCATCAAGTAACTCTTCGAGAAAAACCACGTGGAAAAAAGACGATCTGATGGTCGACGTCCTGCAGTGCTGCAGGTCTTCGTAATAGGGTCTGAAGACCAAGTGGTTTTGGTCACTGTGCCCACAATCACCAGGGAGGTAGCAACCGCTTTCATCACACATGTCGAGTTCGTGCAGCGAGTCAAATCCTACTCGTGACAAGCCTATACAAAAAGTGAGATTTCATGGCATGGGATAATATGGAATGAATAACACTTATTTGAATTCAAGCTCAATCGCTAAGACCATCGTATACCATGGCCTTTCTTGATCTTTCTTGGAGGGTGAAGCAGCCAACAAGACTGGTGATTTTTTCAGGCCAATCAGATGGTGACTTTGATCATGATGGCTTCCCATCAACACATGACTCAACTCACAAGAGAAAAAAGGGGGCATGAACCAGATATAACCAGATACACATGACATTTCACCTTACATATCTGGAAAATTGCTGTGAAGAAGACTCAAAATCTATGGCACTATGGATCTGTTATGATCTGTTGAAGGGATGGGCCTTGCCGCCTTGCTGGCACCACTTTGGAACCGTTTTTTTTGAACGTCCATGGCCAACTTCGATGTGGAAGGCTACACTTAAGTTGAATTGGTCGTTCTCATCCCTCATCCACAGTTGCAATGTAAAAAGGAAGCCTTCATGGGTCATATCCCTTAAAAACCACGATGGAACCCTTGCTGGAGTCAACCTCCCTGAAAGATAGAGTCAAGTATACATAAGTATACGGAGCATCATCACATGTTTAACATCATGCGTAAAGAATTTCTTGCCACTGACTCAATTTACACGCTGTGGTAAAAACCCATCAAAACCACCGCCGCGCCACCGGATTATGGTGAACATGGCCCCAACGGTTGAAGCCCATACTGCAAATGATGATATTATGATTATATATTATTTAAAAATATTTAAAATGTATCTATTTCATGGAACACAAAACATGCTGTTTTGGTTCTAAGTCTAATATGCTCAATTTGTTGCCCACCATATTCCAATGTTTTCTTATTGTCACAGCGTTTATCAATCACAATGCCAAACCCGTACCATCATAACAACATTTAGATAATTTCTTGGTGCTGAGTTTCCCACTTCTATGGCCATAAACCATCAGTCATGTGTTCAATCATAATGACACCATTTGGGGCTACTCCTCCCACAATAGTGATGAATTCCCATTGAAAAGAGTACCTGGGTACCTCCCCTATTCATGAAACTGGAAGGCTTCTTAATTCCTCACTATTCATCATTATGAACCACTATTAATCACTATCAGTCCATTTACCTGGGACAAACCTCTGGTTAGCCGGTAAACTGCAGGGGCCTCTGCCTTCGTCCAAGGCGCGCAAACCAACGTGAGGCGTTGGCCCCATCCACCAGGCACGTCCACTCGCATGAGCTGTACCGAACGGCCTCAGCTTTACTAACTGGGATGCAATCGACCTACAGGATGCGGCCCCAGTTCGTTAGCTAAGTTGATTTATAACATGTTATAACAATAATAGTGCATGATACGTATGAATATATTTAGACGGGGATATAAACCAAGTTATAACTGGGGGGCACCATCCTGTATAATATCGACCCTGGATGAATAACCCCTGAGCTGTTTAATTGGGAAGTACCATTTAAGTATCAGATGATCAATATTTGGGAAGTACCGGGGTTGACGATAGACCCTCAATCTCGCCGTGGAAGTTCTAGAATCTGCTGACCTGAGGCTGAAACTGTTCGCAGTATCGTGGCAAATGGCAAACTCATCCGCGCAGCACTCCTGCAGAGGAGCTATGGTGATCTGAAGTGATTGGTACCTTGACCATCCATGACAGAATATCACCAAATGTTGGTGCAGTATCATTCATTTTGGCTTCTTTATCGGTACTTTGAGGGTCAAGATATATACACATGTAAAATATAGTTGTTTATAAACACAATCTAATGCTATATGCTTCACAGAACATGTTTCCGAAGCCCAAAAGGGGCCTTTCTGGGCCGGGACTCTTTGGCCAACTCATCCCTTCGGTACGTCGTGTCCATGGCGGCCCCTCCTTTTGAACATAGCACCGGTGGGGTGTCTCCGTGAGCATCACTGACACCTAACGGCATGGCGAATACCAATGGGATCCAATGGGTAGACGGCATTTTTAGCCATTCGTCAAAGATCAAGTAACCCGGCTTTGTGAAAAAAATATGTCCTCAGTCTCAGTCCCTTGAACAAGTTTCATCTAGAAAAATAGTGTAAACATCATTCTGAAACGGGTCACACTCTTGGGGGGTGTTTCTCTTATATACTGACATTGACTTCCGCAAACCAAATCGGGGGCAGCGATGTGTGATGACTGGTAAATCCCGAGCACAGCTTCAACTCCATATTCGGTGCCCGATCAGCCTGCAATTCTCAATTCAAGGCTACTGTGCATAATTCTTATAGAATTTTCAATTAAAAAAACACAAGTACATTGATCCTTATTGAAACTTCACACAATTCTTAATTAAACCATGTTTTTCCCACTGGCTTGTTTCTCAGCTGCCGCACCACCATGGTGTGGCTGCTACCGATGAAAGTGCTCCATTCACCAGGCCTCAGGGGAGAAATTATGTGTCAACTGGCACGGTGGCATTCACCGAAACAAAATTTGTGGGTGAAGTTCCATTGTGTTTTTCCCCTTTTCGCAGCAACGAATCGTCTCCGAAAAAAAATTGGCCAGTATCCACCCAAAGACTTAATTTAACCGTTATAGAAGGTACCAATGGATCCATAGGGATCATATAAATTGATTAAATGAAAAAATGAATGTCATTTACCAAGTACTTTGGGATTCAAGGAAACCTATGGCCAAACCCGACGCTGATCGAGTGCCCAGACATGGTCCAAAAGGTGCTGCTTTCGTTCTCAATGGTCGGGATGGACCAGGGACTTTCACAGGCCTGGCTCAAGCAGGATGGCATGGAAAATCCCATCTAAAGGATGATAACTGGGGGTAGCCCTACTTTAGGAAACCACCATGTTGGAACTAACAGTAACTGGATAATGATCAACATCCGAAGAGCGACATGTGGGTATGGGGCCATATTATTGGGCTACTCGAAAGAGTAGTTGTAGGTTTTGTTATTTCTTCGCCAATAAGACTTAAAATAAAATGATTGATGGTGCCCACTCGAATCTTCGTCACAGAACAATGATCGAACTAAACACCTAAGCTAACATGTGTTTTGATTGGGAACCTCCGCTTGCATGGGTACGCTACGTACGTTGACATTTTGGTTGCTGAAAACATATCATTGCAACAGGATGCCAAACATGTTTGGGATGATTCATGGTTGTTCTCCAGATTCTGTTACTGAGCCATTCAGGCTTATATGCAGCATGTTGCCATATGCTTGTATGCTATGCAATTTGGACTCTTGGGTGTGTCTGAAAAAGGGATACCTTTATAAAAGTGCAATTCATGGAACATGGTTAGAAACCCATATACCCAATTATTTTGTATATCACTATATACTCACATCACATGTATATAGAACATTGCATTCGTATGATCACTAAATGTATATATATATATGTATATAATCAAATATACCAACTAGACAAAGTAATGTAGTCAATCTCTTAATATATATATATATATACATATATCTTTATATATATGGCTCTGCGGGCAAAAACACACAAAGTACGGGAGGGCGGAACGCCCTCATAACCATGTATATATATATATCAGAAGGCTACTACGCGTATATATGTAAATGTGACCATAGGTTTATCGCATATGTATCTTATGTATTTATATATATATACACATGATTTCGATGTTCTATCTATGCTATCTATCTCTATCTATCTCTATCTATCTCTATCTATGTCTATCTATCTCTATCTCTATCTATCTTCCTATCTATCTCTATCCCTCTCTCTATCTCTATCTCTATCTGTACCTCTATTTCTGCCTCTATCTATCTGTTTATCTATCTATCTATCTATGTAATTATCTAACTATCCATCTATTCTATTCTATTCCATGCTATCCTATTCTATTCTATTCTATCCTATTATGTTGTATTCTATTCTATTCTATTTCTATCTCCCTGTCTCTCTATCTGTCCATCCGTCCATATGTCCATCTGTCCATCTATATATATATATATCTCTGTCTATCTGTCTATCTGTCTATCTGTCTATCTGTCTATCTGTCTATCTGTCTATCTATCTATCTATCTATCTATCCATCCATCTATGGATCAATCTATCTGTCTATCTGATCTATCCTAATCTAATCTAATCTGTATATCTCTATTGTATCTATACTATATCTAGATTATATCAGTCCTATATTTACATTATATCTATCTTAAATCTATCCATTGTTTTACACTTATCTTGAATGCGTCTTATATACTGTAAATGTTATATATATATATACATATATCTTATATTTATCCTATTTTTCTGATATATATATATTATATTTCCTATATACATGTATGTGTGTAACATTAGATCAACCAGCGAATGATATCTTCTTGGCGCCCAATTTGCTGCCTCCTCAACCAGCACTTCATAGGCCTGATTCCGCGCCAAGCCCGTGACCTTGACGCATCGAAGATCATCGAAGTTGAAGTCTCGAGTGAAAAACCGCCAGAAAACGATGGAAACCATTGGATATTATGGTGATTTCATGTTTTTTTTATGGGATATTATGGTGGTTTAATGGGATTTAATGGGATTTACCATCTGGTAATTTAACATAGCCATTGAAAATCATCACTTTTAAAGGGTAAATCAGCTATAAATGGCAATTTTCCGTATTAAATCATATCTGGTTGGTGGTTGAGCCTACCCCTCTAAAAAATGGTCCCTCATTGGATTGTTTGTGTTGGGAAAATCTTCACCGGAAACCGCCGGAAACCATGGTTTGTACCATGAACAAAAAACTGGTTGGTGGTGCAATAACCATATTGAAAAATATCAAAGTCAATGGGAAGGATTATCCCATATATGAAATGGAAAATAAAAAATGTTTGAAACCACCGACCAGAACGGGGGTTCCTGTAAATTTTCCCAACAAAACCAATCCAATCTCACCCCAACTTTTTGTTGGAAACAAACTTCCGGGAAAATCCATCGGTCACCGTCGGTCACCCCAATCTCCATTCTTGATGACAAAACTGCGGCATGTCGGATGGCCTCGGCAACCACATCTTATCCGGCCTGTCTTCTGTTTGGGTCTGTCGAAGTTTATCACGTCTTAAGAACTTGATCACGTTCTCATCACAGAATTAGATTTTTTTAGGCTCATAGACGTTCATAGCCCAGAGCCATTCCAATTTTCGGTGGTGCCTATTCTTGTCCATGCATTAGGAGAAGAACCCAACCCACGGCTACGTCTCACATAGCCGCTATTTTCGACGATGCCTTTTTGCGACGGGCCATGGGGATAGCTAAATGCCGCAAGCCCAGCTATGTGCTTTCAGACTTGTATCCTGAAAAAAACATATCCTTTGAGATAAATCAACATAGCTATGGAAAATCATCACTTTTAATGGGTAAATCATCTATAAATGGACCATGTTCCAAATAACTATGTTAAATTGCTAGAGGGTATCGCTTCTGGGTCTGGGTTGCATACACCGTATACACCCTTAAATTGCTGAGTACCTACACCTTTAGGCAACCCTGGCTCGGCAAAGTGGACGCAACTGTTGCGCAACATTGGCGCAACAATGTTGCATCGCGAGCGATCGCTTTTTTTTTCCGAACTTTGCTTCAAGCAAAGACCAGAGATGATCGAAGCTCCAAGCAGCCGTGGAAGTACTGTATGGTAGCAGGGGTCTGGGCTGGCTGGGCTGGCTGGGCTGGACATATACTGTGGACTACATTACATTACATGACATGACATTACATTGCATACATATGATTATACGTACCGTATACATATGTATGTATTTAAATAAATATATATATATTACATTAATTTATGTCAGTACAATATATATATATTGTAGATAATCATAATGTGTCTATGTATATATATATATATACATACGTAAGTACACTGTGTACAGCGTACGGTATATACTTTGCAAACCTGAAAGGATGCCACATGGGCGTCTGCGCAATCTATAGACATTGGATGACATTGGGTAGTGGTCAAACATCAGGATCCGCGACAAATACATTTTTAGATATTTTTAGTAGCATCAATCATGTTTGGACATACACCGGAGAAAAAACAAGAAACAGTTTAAGATCTCCGGCAAGCGGTGGTTGGCCACCCGTGAGCCAGTGAAAGAGTCAAAGAAGCTAACCCCAAGTCAAGCCTGTCTAGTTCAGCCGACAATATGTGTTTAACACATTTTAAACCATCTGGGTGCATATTAATTAATATGTCACTAACCTGAAATAAGGCCACTTTGGGATGATTCCCCTTAAGCATAATTCCAGGCTTCGGTCGTCGTTATAATTTGCCCAGAAACAGTCAGAAACATTATATATATATATATAAACAATGCGAATCATCCCAATGAACATGTTCTCCGGTCGATCATCTCCATCGAAAGCGATGCGACATGGCGCCGAGTTTCTGTTCGTTGCTGTTACAACTGGATCTGAATTTGCAAAATTGGCCAATGCCAGAGGAATGATGCAAACTTGCCTCCTGTTTGAATTGTTTCATATGGTGAAACACCGAACAAAAAACTCCGTTCCCAGCCAAACCCTCCTAAAAGCGACCGATGTCTGGCTCCCAACTAAGCCGCATGGTGAAACTGACGGCCTGCAAAAGGCTGGCTTTCTCTTGGCTTGGTGGGTGTGGCAAACAAACGGATTCAACTGGAAAATGTAGGAATTACATGGAATTACATGGAATTACATGGAATTACATGGAATTACCCTTCCCCATGTACGTAATTCGGATTGGACAAGTTTGAAAGTTGACTTGAAGTGGATTGAGGAGAAACGCTCCTAAGCAAAACCAAGAAAACACTGGATTTTCCGGGCCCGACTTAGATTTTCCTGTAGCACTTTCCTCAAACTTTGGGAATGTCGCTTTGACCTGCATGCACCAATTCCATCCAATTCCATTCAATTCCACCGTTATATTTGAAAAAAACATACTGCCTTAATCTACCTTACATACATGATCACGTATTTGTTCAAAAACAAATGCTGAAACTTTGGGCAACGAGTTCTTCCAATTCTTCCAATTGGAAAACTGGGGAGTTGAAACTATTGGGAAGCGGAATCCACATGGACATGGCTGATCTGAGGCTATGATGCCCTGCACAAAAAACAATTACCCTCCAATGTAGTGAAACATGGGACTGGGAAATCTCCCCGAAAACGGACGTTTCAAATTGAATGGGCAAATCTTCCAATTGTTTTTCTATTTTTCTCCAGCAAACCATCTTTGCAGCTGCGAGTCGACTTTTCCTAATTAAGGAGTGTGCATTGGCAGCAAGGCAACCAGCCTTTTGTGCCTGGAAATGGAAATGAAACAAAAATCATTCTTGATAACCAAAGGGTTGTGGTTATAGCCTTTATGACCGTCACAAAGCTCCTCCGTGGCTAAAGAGTCAGCAACATGTCACACCCAAGTGATCCAACGAAGCACTGCGCCTGTTTTCATAACGTCACATGGACGTCTTCCTGACTGCGGACGGTGTTGTTGGGTCATCAAAAATGTTGGTTTTCTGCATAATTACCAAAAGAGAAATAGAACAAGTTGTCAGATTTACCATTACTGGAATTTTACCTGTGACCTGTGTATCTTTCTGATTGCTCTACCTCTGCCGTCTTGTCTAATCTCCCCATGCCTTGAATCCGCCAATTTTGGACTCATGTGGTTGGTGCAGTTTCTTTAGAGTTTATAAGTCGGTTGACTGTTGGGTTGATGGTGATTAGTGTGTATATATATATATTATACATATATTACAAGGGCCCATGTTTGTGAAGCCTGTTTCCTGCACAAAAACGATCTTTTTCCCCACAACTTTGTGTGGGGTTCTGCGCAGCAATGCACACAGCCTCAGTCAAGCACCTGTGGTGGCCATGAATGTGAGGAGGATGTTAGATGTCATGGCGGGGTACCTGAATCGACGAATGTTTGGGTATGTCTTTTTGTTGTGGGGTACAACCCTAGGAGCCACTTGAAAGAATCTTCATAGAGCTTCTCAGTGCAAGTGACAACAAACACCGATTCAAGCCCACTCGCTCCCATTTGCATGCTGGGCCAGGTCTTGCTTGCTCTCTTTGTTGCCAGCCTCAGGTATCCCTCAATCGCCACCGACCAGATTATCAGGAATTATGTCATGATAGGCTTTCAGAGTGGAAGCTAAAAGGAGATGAGCTATCCACACAATAGGTGTTAGGACATAGCAACAATGGTTGCACATAGTTGCACTTCTAGTCATGCCAGGTGGATCACTGGATCACCGGAAAACCCACCAGGAACGGGGGAGGAAGCTTATGTCACTTGCCCCCTAGGGGGAACATGGAGACCAGGAACAGCCAGGAACACGAGGATGCGGAAACTGCACCAGAATGACAGGGTTCCTGAGAAACATCGGTGGGAGACAGAATAATTCTCCAAAAGCAAAATTTCAGGAACGCTGCCATTGTGGTAAAAACGGGATTTTGGACACAAAAATGCTTCCCATTGTGGTAAAACAGGAATTCAGTGACGTAATCCACAGGGAATGGCCCGAAAACCCCTCTGGCAGTGTTGCTCGTGGTCTCCAGTCCTACTAAGCAGACTCGGACATGCTGGCTGCTAGTTGTGTGTTGGTTGGCACGGTACCTCTGAGAGCCAAACCTTTTTCCAGCAGTATGCGTGCAACAACGGACATCACCCGGCACTGGTTCTGGTGCCCCGAAAAGTCTGCATTTCTTGCTTCACACTTGTGGCCCCCCGTGGTATATATATATATATATGGTCTCGTGTTCCGTGTTTCTACCCCCCCCACCCCCCTCCAATGGTATAGGTTCCCTTCTATTTGCAAGCTATTTGCAGCATTTCTGAAGTCCACCCTCGCATTTGCTAGGTCTTTTACTAGGTACATGCTACCTTTTAGATGACCTACGTAGCACACATACTCCCTCAAAGTACCTACGTGCTACCTATAGTCATATATACATGTGCTATGTAGCTACTTCCTCTTACATACACATATATATATATATTTATAAATACTTACACATACATGCTTATATATATATGTATATACATATATATGTATATACATATATATTTGTATATACATATATATTTGTATATACATATATATTTGTATATACACATATATTTGTACATACATACATACATACATACATACATACATACATACATACATACATACATACATACATACATACATACATACATACATACATACATACATACATACATACATACATACATACATACATACATACATACATACATACATACATACATACATACATACATACATACATACATACATACATACATACATACATACATACATACATAAATACATACATACATACATACATACATACATACATACATACATACATACATACATACATACATACATACATATATATATATATATATGTACATGTATACATATATTCATATACATGTATACATATATTCATATATATATATATATGCGCGCAGTACCACACCCCCACCACACCACAGGGGGGAGGGGGGACAGTACCACACCCCCACCACACCACAGGGAGGGGAAGGGGACAGTACTACACCCCACCACACCACAGGGGGGGAGGGGCACAGTACTATGGCTACTATGGCTGACCCATGACCATGGCCGGGGGGGAGGGGGGTTGGAACGCTGAACCATATATATATATACATATATATATATATACACACCAGCGAGCATATAGACCTTACCAAATTGGCGTCAGAAGAATGGGAACTTTCTTTGAAATCTGGCCGAGTGTATCCGAGTGTCAGGGTCGAGCTGTTGGATGTTGGTACATAGATACTATATGATACTATCCATTATTTGGGCTACTTCAACCAAATTTAATTGGATGGGCACCACGGCTTGAATTTTTTTATGCCATCATCTTCACCGCAGAGCCAAGTTTCTCCAGTCTCAGCTGCATGCATCGCTTCCGCATGAATGCCCTGGTGGAACCACTCAGAATTTCTGCGACTTTCTGGCGAAACCCGTGTGTAGTGGGCTTACAAAAGGCCGTCATAGGAATATGGAGATGTTCAATGAAATCAATAGGTATACGGTGTGGTATACCTACAATTATAAAAACAATACCTTGTTGTTTCGCAGCAAATTATATCACCGCTCCTACTCATGGAAAGTGGGATTTTACGGCTGGACAGAGCCAAATCTCCATCGAGCAAATTTGGTGCCGGGGTAAGTCCAGGGAGTATCATAGGCTATTGGATTGGCTTAGTATCCCAAATATCCAATTCGTTTGTGTACCTGGAAAGTCTTTTTGGGGCATCTGCCGACTCGGCCTCCAAAATCTCCTTGCTAGCACCAGAACTTTGCAGCTGCAACATATGCCTCGATGAAGTTTGTTGGGGCGATCATAATCTGGAAACGATCTGAACCTGGAACATGAAAATACGGAAACAAATCAATATTTTTTTTCTTGGTTTACCCTCTGACAATCAAACGTGGCAGTTGTAAATCCCCTATCAATGGAGGTTTTGTGGGAAAATCATTTACCCTTTGGTAAATTAACATAGACTCCGAAAATCATCCAATTTTTTTGGAAACTATTCTTCCAACTCCTATCTGCCAGGGTCTATGTTAATTACCAGGGGGTATAACAGGTGGATTCTCCATTGCCATCTTTGATTACCGGTAAAGATGTTCTTGAACTGGTTCGAGGAATCAACTATCTTGGTTTCATCAAACAAAAATCTGGATTTTAGTTTTAAAAAAACACACATCCATATCAGGACAAGACTGGCGCATGCGTGTATCTACTTGTGTCGATTTGTGGCATTGCCTCGGAACTGTGGCATTGCCTCAGAACTGTGGCATTGCCTCAATAATTCCATCTCTCCCTAACCCCATTGGTCCCAGGTAGTGAGCAGGGGAACCATCACCAGCTCCGACTGGCTGGACATGAAGCGGGGACATATCCTAGCCGAATATATATATATATATTAATATATGGGTTTCGTCTGATAGTTTCAAACGTTGGGGATCATCATTCGAAATAGGCTTCACAAAATGAATCCACCAAATGCGTATTCTTCGGTCTCACTTGCTGACTATTGTCCTAACCACTCACTAATAGTGACTTGGATTGTCACCTAATGAACCCCCATGTTAGAAAATGGCATGACAACAACAATGGGATGTAAGAACCATATCATGTAAATGTCTATAGCAAGAAAAAACTAAAATGACGAACGGGGAAAACATCCTTGGGACCTGAATGGCTCTATCAGTCTATCCGAAAACACAATATTACTTCGAATTCACTGGATAATAATATTCCCGTTTAAAAATGCTATATATAACAGAGGTTGAATCCCCCATGCTGAAAAATATATTGTGTATCTGTATATATAATTGTATATATGTCTATATAGTCTATAATCTGTATATAATGATATATATATAATGTGTATATATATATATGCTATATATACATATTATATACTATATTTATATTTATATATATATATACAAAAATCCAAGATATGTTGTTTTTTTGCGGGCAACCTTTGACACGAGCTTCGCAGGTAGGCCCGGGCACCGCTGCAGAGCGGTCGCACAGTGCTGCCGTTCAGTCTCCTCGAAAACGATGCCACGAACATGCCGGGATTTGCATCCTTCACCAGGGCTAGTTAAAGAATCATGGGATAATTGATGATCAACTTGTTTTTTTTGATTGTTCTAGATACGTCAAAAAAGTGGGACATTCAAAAATGCATGCGTGTGGAATGCGATCATAGTTACCACATGAAATTTTGTAAAAGCGTACATTCATTGAACATTCCCAGTTATATGTGGCAGTGAGGCAAAAAATCTGGTGTGGATCGCTTGATGACTCTGGAACGGCTGGATCACCGGCATTGTGATATGCAACGGCGG